GTTGATTCCTAGCAGTAAATAAAGCCCCCATTACTCACACTGTCCCAAGTGTGCCTTGCTCAGGAAGCCCATCCTCCTAAGCGGCTTCTGCAGGAGATGAGCAGCAAGGCTGCAGGTAGAGATGCGGAGGCCGGCTCCCCAAACCCATCATGGGTCTACCGAATCCAGCTAATCAGGCAATTTGGACGATTCTCTCCATCAGGCTGCTTGGCTTATTGTGCAGTAAAGTGACTAGGCTTTTACAGAAGTGTCTGCGTTAGGGAAAAAGTCACTGACTTCCAGCAAAGGGAGGAGGCTGAGGGGCAGCAGGAGAGGGCTCGGGCAACAGCTCCCGACTTTTTCATTGTTTGGTGCAATTTTGTTAATTCCTCGTACATCTCACCTTTAAAATATTGCATTTTAAATCTGTTTATTAAGTGGGCATCTCATTTATTTATATTTTAACAACTTCAACTTAATAGCAAGTCAAACCGCCAGAGCTCTGATGAGCAAGAGATTAACAACGAAAATCCAGAAAAAAGTGAAGAAGAAAAAATCCAGTGGTATTTTTTTGTTTACTGAGATGTACTTCATAATCAAGAGGAAATGCCTGATTTCTACAAGTGTAATAATAATCATGGTAGAAGTTATGGGAAGTGAAGGGAAAGGCTTTGGACATATAACCGAATTCCAACATGAAAAGAGTAAGAATGTATTTCCGATCCTTACAAATATGCAGATTCTGTTTGTTGTATTAACACTACACTACTTTCAGAAGAAAAAGAAAACTTCTTCACTTCTACCTCAATATAGTTGCTCAGAATAACTCAACTGCTTAGATCTGATTTTCCAGAAAGTTCTGCAGGATTTTATCCTAACCCTGGAGAAGACGTCTCTGGAAAAGCCCCATGACGTGTACTAACACATGTATGTCGGGTCCCATGGTGTTGCTTTAACACTTTCTTCATCTCTGTTATCAATGTTGTCCTTGCCTCTACCACAAAAGTTGGCTTACAGATGAAAAAAATAACTGTATACCTGAAACTTACGTAATGTTATTAACCAAGGCCACCCCAATAAATGTTTAAAAAGTAGAAAAGAGAGAAATGGTGTGACCTAAGGGTGAGTTCCCATCAGCCTGTCTGTGGGGTTAACGGTTTCTTCGAAAACCTTACTTGATACAGTAGAAGGGCCCCAGATACAAGCCCAGGTCTTCCATTTAGTAACTTGTTTTGTTTATCACTTACTCACTGAAGATCCAAGGACTAGCCACTCTGATGGTATAAAACAGGCAGCAATTTCTAAGGAACTCACCATCAGCACTAACTACAGACTCGGTGGACATCACGTCCACAGGCAAAGGCCACCAAGCCCCATTCACTTCTAACTGACCACTCATTACCTAGTGTGTATCAACCACCACCCGTGCCGATGAGGACTATAATTAACAGCGAGCCGGTGAGTGCCAAACTGCCTGCAAATAGAGTTAAGTAACTGCAGAAATGCTTGGTTTAGCTCTTCGAAACTTAGAGTAAGTCATCAAGTTCACACTGACTACACACTAAAAAAAAAAATCTTCATTCGAGCCTTTTGCCTTTGTCAACTACTGGCTTATTTCGTTCCTCGTTTTCTTGGTCCAGTGCACCCACGTACACAGCAACACCCCACCTCCACTGCCTCCCCCCCCCCCCCCCGCCTCCGCAGCTTCCGTAGCCCCTTCTACGAGGAAGCCTTCTTCCTACCATTACCATCACTTCTTCTAACCAAACCCAACTGCCATCTGTTTCATGTGCTGTTTTTACCACCCTCTTCTTCAAACATTTAACGTACATGACGCCATGTATTTCTCCAATGGTTCTGGGCTCTCTCTGAATCTTTGCTGGTAACTGTCCTCTGTCCCTCGGACTGAGGAAACCTGCCACTCGGTCCCAGGGCCTGGGGCTTCGCTGCCTTACCCCGAGTATTTTCCAGGACGGTGGCTGAACTGCTCTTCGAACCACATGCCCCTCTTCATCTCTTCATCTTCCTTGTCTGGGCCCTAAAATAGATGTTCATGTACCTCTGCCCCTACACTGTGGATTCCTGAAGGATAGAGTTTTGTCAGCCTGACAAGCAGGAAATTAAAAAGGTTTGGTCCGCTGACTTGGCATCAGATAAACTCTGATAACCTGAAGGCTCTCTAACGCATGCATCCCCCCTTCATTAGCCAGTCTCAACACACATCTGCACAAAATGAGTCATCCTTACCTCAGCCCTCTCTCCTAGTTCTTAAACTCAGTTACGGAGGACAGTGAGATCAGTGGATTCTGTCACTGAGATAAGAAGCCAACAACGCTACCAGATGGCATTAGTGAAGGAAGCTGCTACGTGGCTCCTCACATTCAGAGGACAAAGCCCTTGTTACGTCCAGAACTTACATTTTCAATCCACTCTTGTTCTGGAAGTGAGATGCAGGAGAACAGCACTGGCAACTTACGACTGTAAGAAGATTCTGAGTAAGGACTACACTTAGATGCCATAAAAAACAAACAAGAATGAAATAAATGTGCTCAGAATTCTAGGTGCACATGACACCATGCCAGTTGTACTGGACCTCCCTTCCTTTCGGGCGAACAGCAGGAATGTTTCAGGCAGGCCCCTTCTTGAGCTGTGTGGAGCTTCTACTCTAGCGGGGCACTTACACTCTCCCCCCCTTAAGCGCCGGAGGGCACGCTGCTGCGGACAAACGCTCCTTCTGCTCCCACTGGCCCAGGGTTCAGGGAGAACCCCGGCCTCGGTGTGTGTAACCCTGCTGGCACAGTGCTGACCGTGAACTTCCAGGAAAAGTTTCATGCTGGGCCCTAACGGGAGGCCAAGTCTCACGTACAAGAACTACTGAACCTTGTGTTTTGTTTTGAAGTGAGTTGTTAATCTGACAAGTCAATGTGCGTGGGATCGTTTTTACACCCTTCTCTCATTCCTGCACAGGCTCAGCATTTCTGCTTTCCCTGAGTGTCCCGGGCGCCCCCCTGCCCGCCAGACCATGCTCTGAAACAGGCATGGGAAAGGGACAAGCCTGGTGTGTTTCAAGCTCCGAACTGCGAGAATGCAGTTCCCGTGGCGGAGGAGTGAGGTGTGACGCTGGCCCTTGAGGACCGTTTTGGGGGCTGGTCAGGGGCGTCTGGGCCAGTGGCAGGAGGTACCCTTAACTCTGGTCTCCAGGCGAAGCACACACAGGGCAGTTACATGTCTTTGAATCCTCTGAACTGGTCACCAGGCTTGGAAGGACCGATGATATGGGAGGCTTCCCGCCTTCCTGATCCAAAGGACCCAACTCCGTGGTGTTGGCACAGAGGTGGACTACAGCATCTTCTGGAAGCTGTTCTCCAGTCCTGGCATCTTCTCTGCTTGAAGCAGGGATAACAGTGTGTGTTCACTCAGAAGCCAGAAGAAGAGTCCGGACAGTTCAAAGTCTAGGTTTCGCTATGGGGAACAGGTTAAAGGGAAGGAGGTCAGCTTCCCCACTGAATTTTATCTTCATCATCAAGGTGGGAGAGGTGGCCTTCAGATCCCTGCTCAGCAGTGGCTTCCTGATGACTGGGTGGCACTCTGTGACACTGGAGAGGGCTCCTGTAGGTCATGGGATTCATGCATTTTCTGCTGCTCTTGGAAAAGTGTAGAGGCTGTTAAGGGTAAACCCCTTTGGGGCTTGCTGATCTGCCCCAGGGCTCTGGAGGCTCTAGAACGGGGCTGCTCTCCAGCGCTCCCCTGCCCAGGGTCCCCACACCTGTACCCCCTAAGGCTGCACCCCCAAGGAGCTGGCTATGGGCCGGTGCTGCAGACCCTGGTATCCAGGTTCTGGAAGCCAGAACGTGGGACAAAGTATTGGATTTTAACCCAGCTTCCCGGGGAGGAAGGTGGGGGCTACAGGCCGTGACCCTGAGTCCTCGGAGCATTCAGACCAGATGCACTAAAGCTTCAGGAAGCGTAAAGCCTGAGGCTAGGGAAGGGGGTGTGGGTCACATCCACACAGGACAAATATCAGGCAGGATGTGATCACACTACCAGGTACAGCCTGCTCCCCAGTTCCACAGCCCAAACGCTCCCAGGTGTTGCTGCATCTCTGGGAACTTTCAAAGATGAATTCTTGCCTACAGGACTGCTAATTCACATTTATATCACATAATAGCCACATCGTAGGAGCCACTCTCATACACTGAATATTTTACCAAGTATCCAACATCTTTAAATGCATCTTCATTTAATCTTAGCAATGCACTTCTGAGAAAGTAGGTTCTCTTCACTAATCAGTAAGCACATTATACCACTCTCTCAGCAGAGCTCCACCCCGGGTCTGTGCAGCATCAGAGATCTGGAGTACAGGGGCGATGCAAGGGGGCCTCTCACGCTAGTGCGCTGGGTTCACAAAGCGAACTCATATACTGCACCTTTGTCTTTACAGCAGTGAGGCAGGAAGGCAGGTGTGTCAATCCATTTCTCCTGTGAAAGAACATTAATATTTGCACAAAGTGATGAGGCGACCTCAGTGGAGTTGAAATTCTGGCTCTGTGAGCACACCACCAATGTCCTGTCTTCATTTTTGAAGCCCTGTAAGGTAGGTACCATTATTCTCCCCACTTGACGATGAAGCAGCAGCAGCTCAGAAACATTACTGCCATGCAGAACGTTGCAGAAATGCTGGGGATCAGAGCTGGATTCCAACGTCTGTCCCTCTGCCTCCAAAGCCCATATGCTCAGTTACCACCACTGGACATGAGCCTCGACAAATGCCTGCGTGGAACCCGCATGTTCAGTGCTGAATGTTGACAGGTTAGCCTAATGAATAAAGAATTAATGAGTGGGTAAATGAGGGATGTCTCCCTTACCATCCTAGCAACATTCCAAACATAAAATCAATGCTCCCCATTATTTTTAAAATTTTACTGAATCAATGATACCTTACTACTTAGGTTTGCTCTCAATACATAATTACTATAAAAGGTATAATTAACTCTTTTCTTTTTTTTTTTTTTTTTGCATGGTCCAAGCATGTGGTGATTTTTATTAAGAATAACTTTGGTTCTAAGAATTCCACCCTTGATTCTGTAATACTTTCATTAAAAACAATTATACAAGAGCAAATACAAAAAATATTAAATTATGAAAACAAACCCATTAAGGCTCCCTTTATATATATTATATACACTCAAATGAGTCAAGATTTTTCAGAGTAGAAGAATAAAGTCAACTGTTATAGCTTAGAAAGCAACACTACTTTCCTACTAGGAGACTATAAAACACTGAACTAGTTTAAGAAAACCATGGAGTGGAAAAATGGAGCCAATTTTGTCCAAAAGTGGCTCAAAGCACAAAGCTGCTCGGATGTCCGTGAGTCCCGGGGTCTGGAGGGTACAGTGTTGAAGCGCTGAAGGAGACCGAGGCCTTTTAAAACATGAGCCTATGAGCTAAGCTGATCTGCTGACTTCAGGGAGCTTCTCTACATGTACCTTCCACTAAGACATCACTGTGTCCTATTTACAAGCGTTGGTTTGGCCAGACCTTGTACTACGAACTACAAAGAAGTCTGCGGATTTATGAGATTGGGAGGGCAATGCTTGTGTAATTTATTTTTTCCCAGGGAAGAATGGATTCTAGGTAAGTTCTAGAGACAGAATTCATCCTACTAAAGGAGTCTGCCAGAGCGAGCCCTTGGGAATTTCATCAAGTGGCAGAACTGCTTCAAGGACACAGGATCTGAAGATCTTCCATGCAGTAAAGGCTACGTCTGAACCGGTCCTGAAGCCTCACTTTACAGGTCACATCGTTAGTGCACACACACAGAGAAAGAACTGCGGTCAGTGTGCAATCGGAAATGTGCTTTCAAGACAATCAGTTAACGTACTTTCTTCTCTGAAAAGGTAGTGATGGAAAAAAGTTGCCATTCCACCCTTCAAAAGCCCACTACGATAGAGCAATATATTCTCTGAAATGCCTCCTATTTTATTCAAATAATACTTACTGATGAGGGAAGTCACCCATTCCACATGTGATCTACATAGTCTCAAACTAGCAGTATACGATCACTGCATTTACTTATATCTTGTTCACATTAGCACTGATTATGAGCATAATGGTCAACTATGAAAAGCATTCCCACAGGAAGCCAATTTCTCCTATGCTTATTAAGAATTCAAAAGCTCAGAACCCAGCTTTCCATGTGCCTTTAGAGGAATTATAAGAAGGTCTTCAATGGAGAAACTACTGGCTGAATCTCGCTATGGAGAGCATACTGAATCCACATAAATTCTTCCGGACTGCCCCAAGTCGAATGTACCACACCAGCAGTAGAGAATGAATCCTGCCTAAGAACTTGCTGCTACTGGCAACTTGGGCTTCACTTTGAGTAGCTTGCTAGCTAGAATTCAAAAACTAAGCAGCTTCTCCCTTCACGTTGGCTTTTCCTGAGATGCAGAATAGTAGTCATTAACATCATCATTATCAATAGCATCATCGTAACTAAAAGAGTGGGGAGACAGTCTTTCTTCTCAAGAAAAAAAAAGTAAAGAAATGGGTGATCATTACTCAGAAATTTTCAAGGCTTGGATTCTGATAACTTTCAACATGTACAAATGCTATGACTCTTCCGACGTGGCCTCCTTGAGACCGGTCTACACTTGCTTCACATTCAAACAGCCAAAGAACCCCTCCTTTCGAGGCTCCCAGCGGGAGCATTCTCCACACAGCTCTCAGGAGGAGTCAAAAAATTTGGACCCTCTACTTTCGACACTGAAATTAGTTACGTGGACTAGTTTTTATTGTCCAAAGGATGGAGGAGATTATTTCATATAAAAGGACAAGCTCAGCAAGAAATTAAAAAAATAAAATAGTTATCAAAGCAATAAATGGATTTACATAATGTGCCTTCTCTGAGCTGGAATGTTACCATGGAATATAACCCCCAAAATTAAAATAAAGTCAAGATGGCCGTTCAGGTATTTTGTTTATGTATGTTTGTTTACATATTTTAAACCCTCTTCACCCTATGGCTGTCCATAAAGGTAATAGTTGTGCTCAACATTATCACCTACGTTCTCAGGTGTGAATTCACCTAACGGGCGTGGAAGTGTAAATAAAACAACAAAATCTGGGGTTCCCAAAACAGAATTACTGAATATTGGCTGTAACAGATCAAATGCATTTCTATGTGATCTAAATTACCTAGCAGATAACTAAAGGAAGAATAAAACACGTTTTCTTTAGTTTTTGAAAGAAAAAAGGCTCTGTGCCCCACTGAACTTGGATCGGTAGGAAAACCAAGTAGTGCAACTCTCAAGATTTTATTCCAGTGTCCTGTTCCTTTACTTGTTGTTTTCAGAGTCTTTGAACACAGGTCCATATCCCAACTTGGGTGCTGGTCAACGTCCTTTGTTTGGCGAATAGGAACTGCAGCTGTCGCAGGTAATGCACCCACCCAGATAGCAGGTGGGCCAAGGCCAAATCCTTTTTAAGTGATGATGCTCTGCTGGCTGGGATGCTCCCCAGGGGTTTGTGCCCCGAGATGAAGCCTTGAGGAGGCACCGCTCACAGTGTCAGCACAGTCTCTGAGGCCTGGGCCTACGACTCCTGGGCTTGGGCCACTTCTTGGCCTGTTCTCCTAAGATTGCCTTTAACCTTCACAAATTCTGGGGCGTTTTCTTGCTCTTCTTGCAGTTTCTGCTTCTCAAGTTCAAGCTGTTCTAGCTTCTGCTGTCGTTTTAATAGTTCTATTTCCAAGTCAGACTTCTTCTTTTGTGCTTCCTCTTCCTTCTGCTTTATTACCTGATCTCGTTTTCTCTTTTCCATCACCTTCTGCAGTTCTGGCTTATTCTGAGGGGCAAGACCCCTTTTCTGATTCATAAGAAGTTCTCTGTGAAGATCTTGGTGGTTGCGGGACGTTTTGACCGGATTGACGAGTTTCTGAGGCCTAATTAGTTCAGGATTGTCATCTTCTATATAGTCTGGTTCAGCCATGATATTTCTTGGAGTGAGGTATGTGTCCTTCTGGTCGGGATCCTCAAACGGGCTGTCTCAGCGCGCGCACAAAGGCGCTGGGCTGCCTCCTCGGCGCTCGCTCCGGGCGGCCGCGGCGGTGCTCAGAGGCCCCGCGGAGCACCGCGGCTCTAGGCGGCGGACTCCGCGTTAGAGGCGGCTCGGAGGGTTGCTGCTGCCCGACCGACGCAGGGCGACTCTTTCTAATTAACTCTTTTCTAAAGAACAAGAAGACTCATTTTAAGGAACTATGAGAATCATGTATGTAAGAAAAAGAGTTTAGTGAGCTCCAAAAAAAAGTTCTATTTGAAATACACACTTAAAGATCAGAAAAGTTAGTACTATACATATTTTAATACATCTAATATATCCTCTCTGCTATTACTATTTACTTGTCCACAAGTCCTTCTCTTTATTATAATCAAGCACCTGAAAGAAGTTTCAAAACAGACTCGAATATACACCACTTCCACTGTGCTACTGGACCACTCAAGCTAGGTTGGGTTTTGCTCTAATCGTGACCTTATGATACCTAAATTTCTTCTTGGTGACACACCCAACACCTACCACTACTTATTTTTAGTCTGAGGCCCTGGGTTCCAAGTTGGGAACCTAACCTATGTATCAGGAATTTGCCGGTGTCCAGCCTCGGCAGGTCTCAGGATCCCTGAAGGATGAATGGCGCAGGTGAATGAAGACTCAGACACCCGATTGGATGCCGGAGAACAGCCAGCCTCTATGGGTCTGACTGAACTCATAGAGTTTGATTTAGGCTTTATTTTTATAGTGATTGTTACATAACATTAAAGGAACAGGTGCATGGCATGATTGGTTAAGCAGAAAAAACCAATACAGAGGTAACCAGGAGAAGTACAAGAATGTCCATAGTTTCAGTTGTGTTAAACACGAGTTGTTTTGACCAGGTGAGCCATTAATCAGACAATTTGAAATAGCTCTACGTACAGAGTTTGAATGTCTTATTGTTTATTAAAGGTCTTAGAATTTGACATGGGGCAAAAGGTACGCTAGACTGAGATGAGGTTAGGAAATTCATTATAAGGCCTTTGTGATGTCTAACTTAGCTATCTTCCTGTCTAAAATGTTTCTTTATGTAATATGGACTCTAACTCCTTGGTAATTGTTTCTACATGCTTAGTTTTTAGTAGCTAACCAACTTCTCCTGTTTCTTTGCTTGTCTACTTCTAATTAATACATATTCTTGCCCAAGGTAGAGGAGGGGCTGTTACTCCAACAACTTTTAGACATACAGGGGCTATTTCATTAGAGAGAACTTTGTTCTCTGGTCAAGAAATTATTTTGTACAACTTCATTGGAATTATGCGAATCAATGAACCTGAAATACAGCTGTCTAACAATCCCACCACCTTTTGATCACCAAAACAAACATGTAAAGAGAGAGAGACAGGAAATCCAGCCACAGGTGCCTCTGCCTTGCAGATGCATCTCAACCATCCCGACCTTGTCAAGGGATGGTTGCTGGCTGGCTCCTGACAAGAATCTCCAAATACTGTGCAACATAAAATAAAGACTCAATAAGTATCTGTTAAATGGAGGAAAGGCAACAACACATTTGAAACCAAAAACAGGGACAGGCGGTCAGCAAGTCCTCAGCCTTTAAAATGTCCCAGTGAAGCAGGACTTCTAATTCCCACCCCCAGGGAAGCCCAGGAATCCACCGTTTTAGTAAGCACACTGAGGGACTCTTAAACACACTGGGGTCTGAGAGCCTACAGCTCTGGACAACATCTGCTCCACTCCTCCAGGGACCAGGTGTGCCGTGCTATCCAGAAGGAAGCTCCATGTATTCTGAGGGAGGGACCCTTATTTTAGGCAAGTCCATGTGGGGAAAACTGAATGCCACAGGAGATAACATGCAGGAAGCTATGAGTAGCCATGCACTTGGAAGCAGCTGGACTGTCCACGTGACTTAGAATTGCATCTAATGAGCTGAAATATTCTACCACTCAGAACATAATCTGGGGACTTCCGCCAAGATGGAGGCGTAGGTGGAAACGCCTTGTGTCCACGTACGACCAAATCTAAAAACAACAAAGTTTCAACAATAATAAATGCAACCAAACCACACAGAAAATCGACAATACGGAGTCCGAAAACAACGAAATGCTCAGCTAAATTGGTGAGAGGGGCAAAGCCAGCAGCAGGGCCGGTTGGCCAAAAAGATCCCCGACCAGGGTGGTACACAAGCAGCCGAAGGTGCAGATCCCAGGTGCGGGCTAGCTATGGGCGGACACAGGGAAGAGGCGCGACTGGCTGTCTGCAGTCGGTGGAGCATTTGCGTGCAGATAAACCAGTGAAGAGGTGAGCATTGAGACCACACAGAGCAGAGCAGCGGGCTCGCACATTTCTGCTCAGATAAACAGGTGGGGGCGAGCGGTGGGACAGACTGGGCGAGCGGAGAAGACCACCATTGTCCCTCTCTGACCCTGCCCCCACATACAGTGTCACAAACCAGCGACCTGGGTGGCCCCACCCTGGTAAACAACTAAGGCTCTGCTCCTCATACCTAACAGGCACAAACAGATAAAAACATGGCTGAAGAACAACTCAGAGCCCCAGAGTCAATAAATCTAAGCAACCAAGAAATAGCTAAACTTTCAGATGCACAGTTCAAAACACTGGTGATCAGGATGCTCACAGAACTGCTTGATTTTAGTCACAAATTAGAGGAACATATGAAGGCTAAACTAATTGAAATGAATGGTAATGCACAGGAAACCAATAGTAATGGAAAGGAAACTGGGACTCAAATCAAGGGAGTAGACCAGAAGGAAGGAAAAAATGACCAAACAGAAAAGGATGAAGAAACAAGAATTCAAAAAAATGAGGAGTGGCTTAGGAACCTCCAGGACATCTTTAAATATTGCAACATCCGAATTATAGGAGTACCAGAAAGGGAAGAGGAACAGCCACGAGTGGAAAACTTATTTGAACAAATAATAAAAGAGAACTTCCCCAATCTGGCAAAGGAAATAGACTTTCAGGAAATCCAGGAAGCTCAGAGAGTCCCAAAGAAGTGGGACCCAAGGAGGAACACACCAAGGCACATCATCATTACATTAGCCAAGATTAAAATGAAGGAGAGAATCCTAGAAGCAGCAAGAGATAAGGGGACAGTCACCTACGAAGGAGTTCCCATCAGACTGTCAGTGGATTTCTCAAAAGAGACCTTACAGGCAAGAAGGGGCTGGAAAGAGGTATTCCAAGTCATGAAATCCAAAGACCTACAACCAAGATTGTTCTATCCAGCAAAGTTTTCATTTAGAATGGAAGGGCAGATAAAGTGTTTCTCAGATAAGACCAAATTCAAGGAGTTCATCATCACCAAGCCTTTATTATATGAAATGTTAAAGGGACTTACCTAAGAAAAAGAAGATAAAAAAGATGAACAGTGAAAGGACAGCAAACTCACAGTTATCAACAACTACACCTAAAACAAATAATAAAAGAGAACTTCCCCAATCTGGGGAAGCAAATTAAGAGGACAGCTAGATCAGGAGTGAACCATAAAAATAAAGATCACATGGAGGATTAGCAACAGGGGAATGAGAGAAGGAGAAGGGGGGAGAAGGTACAGAAAATAAGTAGCATAGACAGTAGATAGAAAATAGGTAGGGGGAGGGTAAGAATAGTAGGGGAAATACAGAATCTAAAGAATTTGAGACACGTGTTCATGAACTAAAGGGGGGGAATGGTGGGGGAGGGGTGTGCAGGGTGGAGGTGTGAACGGAGCAGGGGGAATAGAACAAATGTAATGGCATAATCAATAAAAAAAAAGAACACAATCTGTAGCTGTGGAAGCCCACAGACACTTGATGCATTTCAAGTTCAGTCGGAGCAGGGCAAACTACAGCCCACGGGCCCAAACTGTCCTGCCACCTAATTCTGCAAACAAAATCCTATTGAAATACAGGGTAGAGGGCGGAACTGTGTCCCTGAAACAGGCACATTCCGGCCCTGAACCCAAGTGCCTGTGAATGCGACCTTGTTTGGAAGTAGGATCTTGGTAGCTGGAGTCAAGTTAGGACGAGGTCATACTGGGCTGGGGTGGCCCTGAGTGAGTGAGGTCCTTGTAAGGAGAACATTTGGACAGAGCCCCAGGAATGAAGAGACAGACAGAAGCACAGGGACATGGCCACTGCACGGCAGAGGCGGAGACTGGAGTGGCCGATGTGCCAGCCACCAGCAGATGCTGGGAGGAGACCGGGAAACAGATTCTCCCCCAGGACCCAGGAAAGGAACCGACCCTGCCGACCTGTTGATGGAGGAGGTGCAGCCCCCCAGACTTGGAGCGCATGGATTCAGTCGGTCTGTGGCATTCTGTGACAGCCACCCCGGAAACACAGAGGCCTCCACGCCACTGGCCACTGTGGTCTGAGGGGCCTTCACGCTGCAGGGACAAAGCTGCTTAGCTGTGACAGAGCTCCTACAGCCAACAGGCTCTGAAATACGTGCCACGGGTTCTTCATGGCAAAAGGCTGGAAGTCCCCAGGTGTTAACAGAGCAAGGAGCAGCGGAGCAGCGAGTGGATACAAAACATGTGGGTGGGGCAGCTCTCAACCTGCTGGCCCCGCCCACCAGAGTGCAGTCATCACTGTGCCCATGGAGGACGAATCTGGGTACCAAATGGTGTGTCCAATAGTGGCCTCTTGTTCATAAATGGCCATCCAAATATCGATTACATTTTCTTTAAAGGAGAACTGGAAATCTTTAATCAAAGTATCTAACAGATAAGAGCATCAAGAAAGTTCCACTTTTGGAGCTTTTAGTTCATTGCAATTATTGAAAATAAATCTTGTGTGTGGTTCAGAATTTAAACTGACCCTGTGCAATCCAAGAAGGGTTGGGAAATTAAATGACGAGAGCTCAAACAATGGGCAAAATTTAATTTAGAAACTGTGCTTTAGATGATTGCACTTTGTACAAAGAATCTCCTGAACATCCTTTTTAACATTTTTATATGCAACCTACGGTAAGATATGAGACTTAAATTTTTACAACAGTTAATTAAATCTGGAAAAACTTTAAATCATAGAGATACATTTTTAAATGTAATGTCACATAAACACATTTTAAAGAAATATATAAATATTTTGGAGGCAAAAATATAATGCCAGTAAAAATATTTTAGCTAAAATCATACATATTAATATAAAAAT